CACAGAATATCAACGTGAAGTTTACTTGTGGTTTTTTGACTATGCATAGACATTTGATTGTGGATCATAACCAGTTATGACTAACATAAAAAGAATGAAATGTGCGAAGACATTTGACTGTGTAGACCATACAAATAATGGCTAACATTGGGAAGACTAGAAATCCCAGGACAATTAATTGTGTTCTTAAGAAACCAAGAAGCAGTTGTCCAAATAGAACAAAGGAACACTGCATACTATATGGTTTATAATTGAGAAAGGTGTGCTACTGGGTTGTAGGCTTTCTCAACACCTCTTCAGACTGTATGCTGAGCAGTGCATTCAAGCGACTATTTGAGGAAGAATGTGGCATCAGGATTGGAGGAAGACTCATTAATAGCCTGTATTATGCAGATGACACAACTTTCCTTGCTGAAAATGAAGAGTACTTGTGTAGATGACCAAAGACTACAGCATTCAATATGGAATACGCCTCATTACCAAGAAATTTTAAATTGTCACCGCTATATTGGAGAAAAGATTGCAATAGTCAGTAATTTGACTTTATTGGGTCCACAAGAAATCAAAAGATGTTGTATCAGGAAAATCCAATGACAACTACCTTTCCAAAGTACTAAAGAATATGGATGTCAGCTTAAAAATATGGGTGTGTCTGATCCAAACCATGATATTTTCAACTACTTCCTGTGCATCTAAAAGCTGGACAATGAATAAAGAAGACCAACAATGATCTATGTCTTTGAATAGTGTTGGTGAAGAATATTGAATATGCAAGTTCAACCAGGGTGCTTCTTAGAAGCAAAGAACTTCTTACATAGTTTGAGCATGTTAGAAGAAGGGGCCAGTCCTTGGAAAAAGACTTCATTCTAGGAAAGGTCAATAAGAGAGAGGAAGACCTTCAAGAAGATGGATTGACATAGTGACTGTAACAATGACTCCAGCATAACAGAGGTGGTAAGGGTGGCGTAGGGCTGGGCAATGTTCTGGTCTGACCTGTCTAAACAATAGGCCTGTTGTTTAAAAGGTCCTTGTGAGTTCTGATTAACTGGACAGCACCTAGCAACAGTGACATGCTTACAGGCAAGTTTCAGTGTCTTTTGACATTCATACTGATATTTCCCCCCCCCTTTTCTCTCTTTATTAATGACCTCGTTCATATCTGACTTGATTTCATCCACATTTCATCTAGTCTTTGGTGGAAGTGTTCAGTTCCTCAAATGTGTTCTTGAGATGGTTTTTAAATTCTGATAGAATAAACTCAAGGTCATATTTTGGCTCTCCTGGACTTGTTTTAATTTTCTTTTATAATTTTTATTTTAATTGAGATTTTAATGAAAGTTTATCGAGAACTTGGATTTCCATTTATTCATTATTACGCATTTTCCTTCCTACCCACCCCTCCAGTTTATATTTATTTTTTTTTTTAAAACAAAACAAAAAAAAAACACCTTTCATTGTTGCAGAATTTCCTCCAGCCTTCCACTATGCAGGTCTTATTCTGGACTGTTGTCGTGCAGATAACACCTAATCTTCTATTCCTTTTAAAAAGTTCTTTAAAAACAGAAAAATCTGTTTCAATTCCATGTACATAATTTATCCCCTCTTTTCTTAGTTTCCCTTCAACCCCACTGTCAGTCCTGTTTTATAACTGTGGCATTATGCAATTATTTGTCCTTTTGTGACTGAGATATTTCACTCAGCATAATGTCCTTCAGGGTTACTTATTTTGTATATTTTTTTAGTTCCTTGTTTTTCAGTGCTACATAATATTCTGTTGTGTGACTATACCAGAGCTTCTCTATCCATTCATTTGTTGATGGGCACTTGGGTTATTTCCCTCTCTTTGCTGTTTTGAACAACGCAACAATAAACATAGGTGTGCATATATCTGTTTGAGTGGCAGTTCTGATTTCTTTAGGTTGTATTCCCAGTAGTGGAATTGCTGGGTCGAATGGTATTTCTATTTCCAACTTTTTGAGAAAGCACCGTACTGCTTTCCATAGTGGTTTAACCATTTTACACTCCCACCGGCAGTGATTAAGGATTCCAGTTTCTCCACAGCCTCACCAGCATTTGTTGTTTGTCGTTCTGTTGAATTTTGCTATTCTTATTGGGTGAGATGATATCTCATAGTTGTTTTTATTTGTATCTCTCTTAGAACTAGGGATTTTGAACATTTCTTCGTGTATTTGTTCGCCATCTGTGTGTCGTCTTTGGTGAAGTATTTTAATTTTCTTCAGCTTTGATTTGAGCTTTTGTGTGAATAATTGAGATACTCTGCCCCCCATTTGACCTTGACCTTGTTCTGACTGCTATTACTGAACTTCTCCAACTCTTTCCACAGCTGTAGTTAATTTGATTCTTGTGTATTGCATCAAAGTCATGTGTATTGTTTTTGTTTATGCTTTAAGAAGAAGAAAGTTTACAGTTTACAGTAAGTCACTGATTGTACAAAATTCTGTCATGTGATCTCCATCCATCCTTATATCTGTCATAGAGGCCGTATTTTGTAACCCTTCATTTTCAAGGTTTGCATTCCAGTGCATTTTGATTACATGTTCAGTTACTTTCAGACTGTGGAATTTTATATAAATCCTCACTTTCTTAAATTGCTGTTTTAGTGGTTGGTGAGTAAGTTTACATAATAATCATAATAACAGGTTTTTTCTTGTATGCATATGGATATACTGCTGTCACTGACAGTGCTGTACTTCAGGATCAATCTTGAGGGGAAAAAATTTTCTTAACATTAGTTATTAAGCAACTAGATTAAGTGGTTTTTTTTTTCTTTAAATATTTTTTTTATTGGTAAAAACATATTGGGGGTACAAGGAGGTGAGGGTTGGGGGCAGAAGGGTGAGGATGGGCCAGGATGCAGTTGCAGAGCTGCACAGTTTGGTCGGTGGGGGGAGCAGGTGAAGGAAATGATGAGGGTCCAGTGGGAACTAGATGCTACAGAGGAATGACAAGCATTTTCCAATAGTAATTAAACCAACTG